CCAGTCCTGCTTAGATCGGTGGACTACCACGACAACCAGCCACCAAACCGCTAGAGTATGTCGAGCATTAGGCTATTTTTCATTCATATATTCACAACTAATTTGTGACAGTTTGACAGCTCTGTTTTGCCCTTTCGTCCATCTCTGACCATAATTAATCTGACTTGCTTAAACCTGATCAGCACAGTTACGCGCCGTAGAAAACTGGATTGTTCAAGCAGATCTCGGAAGGTTGTTCAAAGAGGCACTGCAGTATATGTACAAATAACGAAACGAGCTGACACCGACGGATTTAAAACCTTATTAATCGGACTCATCAAACACACAGGCACACTGCTATTCTGACATCAGTGAGTATTACAATACGCAGTAAACTCGTGCCTTGTAGGCAGGCCAGACTGCCCGAATCTATTCGAAACACACTGAGTTGGTGAGAAGAGTTCAACTGAAGATCGTTGTACCTCCCGACTTTATTTGTTATCGAGCAAAAGCGACCTGACTGTGTTATTATTATCATCATCATTATTGTTGTTGTTGTTGTTCTTGTTGTTGGACGCTAACTCTGGGTAAATGTGGATCGATACTTCGGTCAGACACAGATTGGCACAGTAGTGGTAGTACCTTTTGCATGCCTTCCATAATATAAGTCCGGAGTTCAAACCCCGAACTGGTAGATGCATATGCCTTACTATCAAAAGTAAAACTGGAGTCTAGTACTTTCTAAATGAGTGGTAGTGGGTAATCTGGGGATTGTGTATGAAAATGAAATCTGAACTGTGCTCAGTTCAAATCGATATCATCTATTCTATATCACTACTCACAAGTAACTGAGCGACGAAACGTGGTTTGAGTATGGCTGGATTAGGTACTTCAAGGCGATAACCTCGCGAGTCAAATTGACAAAACCAATTAAAAGGATAATCCAACTATCCGCGTAGAGAAAAGAACAAGTGCACCCATACGTACAAACACACACACACACACATGGGATATGCATTTATTACGTTTAGTCATCTTATGTGCTTCAATAATTTTGTTGTATACAACTTCCAGGCAAGTAGAAAATGATTAGAATCGATAGTCTGTGAGGGCTACGCAACACGGAAATAATATTAAAATGCTTTTATCGTCTTAANAATAAACTACAGGAAGAGGTGAAGGAGGAGTAAAAAAAATAGAAGAACGGACGAAAAACAGAAATATCGTTCTGATTTGCACAACAGACGCTATCCGTTGATCGGCACAGGCAACGTTGTTCTTGATGTTCTTGTTGTTGTTGATGATGATGATGATGGTGATGGTGGTGGTGCTGCCTTGTCGGATTGATTGAAGAAACCAGTTGTCAGTTTTCAGCAGGCCCCCAGAGAAGAACAGATCACATAAATTATGCATAATTGTGAATTTGAGGAGAGACAAGAATGATATTTAGAATCAATACTGGTCTTAGTGATTCCCGCTTAGAGTAAATCAGTAGCAAGCAAATCTTATGTATTGCTTATTCCAATGGTCAATAAGCTTGTTTCATTTTCCTCTACTGGACACCTCGACAATGTGTTTGTATGTGTGTGTGTATGGGTGTGTTGAAAAGAGACGGGAATGAGATTGTCACCAGTCGTATTTTGTCGGACGAATAGAACCATATGGACCACCTGGAGAGAAAGACAATTCAATACAACGGTTGGGTGGGATGGGGGCGCTTTTTTGTCGACGAATAGAATGATCAGAGTTGTTATTGAAGCGTATCTTTTGCAAAAAACGGAGTTGCACTTATTCGCCTATATCAATTGTTCTTGATTGTCTTATACCTTACTGTTTCACTCTAGATTCCATGTCACTGGTCATTTCGGTTACTCGATTGAAAAGAACGAATTCCAGAATGATTACCCATACCCGGCTCGCGTCACAATACGGAGGAAAGCTCAGGCCTACAGATCGATGTGATTGTTGTGATTGTACAGACCTGATTTGTGAGTAACACACACATGTCACTGAACTGGAGCGGGCTGCCTGTAATTGTGTCAACGCGATTTACAGGACCGACGGGTGAAATACAGATCAATAAATATTAGGCCTGTCGATAGTAGTAAGGAGGATAGTTAGGTCGACCAATCACGTGACATCCGATCGGAGTGAGTGAGCTGCGGCATGATTTGAGCTCCTCTCATCACAGTACCCAAGGCCGTCGGAATTTGACAAATCTAGTTAGAAGTAACTGATCAAAAACGACGTCCATACATTTTGTGATTCGAATCGCCAGAGTCGAATGATCAAGTACAACGGTCAATCAATAGGGTTCAGAGAGTATGGTGTTGTACACTTATAAAGTCATTCGGGGACAGAAACTCTGACTGAACAATCGGTGTCCATGAGTATTTTTTCTGTTCATTAGAGATCTCTGTGCTACACTGATGACTATAGCTATCGGAAAACCCAAACAACTTGTNATATATATATATATATATATATATATATAGAGAGAGAGAGAGAGGTTTATACACCGGGTTGTAGACAAGCATGGTGCCAACGCCACAACATTATTGACAATAATAATAACAAGGGGGCAGGTGAATTGAAATACAGAAGGAAGTGGAAAAAAGGTGAAACAGTTGAAATGCAAAATTGTAGATAACTGGGATAGCCAACTGTTTTGTGTGTTTCATGCTACACCTTTTGATATTTTTGTGTTGTTTGTTGTGTTTTACGGGTAGACCGTATAGCATTCACGCCATTGACTTCTATTCTGGGCCATATCTCTCAGTGTCTCTGACCAACAACAATCCTCATCCCTTGGGCCCCAACCTGGAAGGTGGGCTGCATCAACCGAAGCCAAAGCTGAAGCTAGCTTCTTCATACCTCTAGACCATGTCTGACCTCCGGCGGCGCTTCTCCCAGTTTTACCCGGCACGTGAAAAGAGAGAACGGAAAGGTAGGCAGGCATACGCAATACGTGAACAAGCCATCGGAGGCGGTGTAGAGCGATTACCTCTATTAGAGAAGGACTATCCACACCCAACACACGACAATGAACCTCGTCAATGCTCATCCGGTGTTCCCACAAGCCACTAGCAATGTTTTGGAAACATCGGTGGTCGAATACAGAAAGTCGATTAGTATCCTCAACAGTCGGATGTCATGGCGGCACCAGAGGTATTGCAGGTTGGTAAAAGCTGTTCTAGCATTCGCTATTCATGATGTGATCTGGTCCCCAACACCAACACCAGCTGCTATCAAGCTCCCGAGGCACTTAAAGCTCTCAACTACTTCCAGCTGATCACCACAAAGGGTGAGCGCAGGCACAGGCTCCTGCCAATCTTGATCAACCACTTTGCACCCTGATGGTGCAAAGCACATACCATATCTGGACACCTCGATCGCCAAGCAGTTCAAAGCATTCTGGACTGCCTGCGTATTGTCACCCAGCAAGGCGATGTCATCAGCATATTCTAAGTCGGGGACTTTGTTCCCTGGGAGGAGTTCGACTCCACCGTTTGCTAGACCGGACAGAGCATTCTGTAGAACGTTCTCTATGACAGTTGAAAAGGAATGGGGATACAAGGCGGCCTTGTCAAACGCCATGGGAGACGGCCAAGGGTAGTGAAAGCTAGCCATAGGCCCTAATCCAGTTAGGCAACTTAGAAATGTTTTTTATATATATCTAGGTAACGAAACTCGTCCGTTGTGCTCAGTGTCGTGTCCATCTACATTGATCACTCTATACTCTAACAAAAGGGCCATCATCTATCTATAGTGAAGCCAGCCAACCTGTTATGTAGGTCATATTTCCAGATGAACTGTGATCAATGCTCAGATGAGTTCTTGAACATCATCATTTTGTTAAATCTGCACATGACAAAACATCCGTATGTATCTGTGGAGCACATATATGAGCTGTTTTGTGCATTGGTAACGCAGGCGCCTTCCATGCGATGGGTACGGAGTTCACATCTCAGACGGGATGGTAGATATGCATTACTGATGAGCTCTAGTAAGAGCGAAACTCGAGTCTAGTACCTCCCCGAGTGTATGGTTGAATCGATGAACTGAGGATTGTGCGCGTGAAGGTGAAGTCCGAAAGATAGTCAGTTCAAAGCAATAAACATATATCAGAGACAAATTTTGTCATTCAAATTTTTCAGCCGCTTTAACTATCCCATGTTCCTGGCAATGTCGCATTATAAAATGTAGGGAGGGGAGAGTTAAGAAAATAGTATTCTAATTCTAGGAGTATGAGAACATACGCGCGCACACACACACACACACACACACACGGTCACCTAGACTGTTGTAATCAAGCATTTGGTCGGGTGGAATGCAGTGGAAGAGTTATTCAGCAACAGAATTGATACCATTATGACGGTAAATGCCACAGTAAACAATGGTATTAGAGTCAGTAGCATATCAGCCCGGACTAAACAAAAANAAAAAAAAAAAAAAAAAAAGGGTAGCTTACATCACGATAACGTAATCGCTACTCTACACGATATGACACTGTAAATGGTGCTTACACTACTCAAGGGCAGTTTAAAGTCCGATTGGCCCCTAACTACGTTCTCTAATACAACAAGTGCGTTCCCCAGCTCCCCCCTCCCCTCTCCCAACGGGAGTGACATACCATTCATTGCGGAGACCGGAACTGAGTGATTTATGGTCGTGTTATACGATCCTCGGGGGCCGATTGGATCTCGTTTGGACCTGGATAACGGGTTCTCTTCTGTCGTTCTGAACAAGTGAAAAAAAACAAACAAACAAACAGAATGATGTTTACTTGTGTGTGTATGTGTGTGTGTGTGTGTGTGTGTGTGACACGGAAAGGGACAGACAAAGAAAGAGGAACAAAATGGTACTGTCTGATGTGAGAGGCACCGGGAACACAATTTGTCGATACACTTTCATGGCATAGTGGTGCCCGTACTATTAGGCTCACACGACAGATCATCACACTGTACTATCGTGATTGCGAATATATTCCAATTCCATTTGTATAAACCTTAATTTTCACTTTCAGGTTCCGCTCATCCTCGATCGGTAAATCAAACAACAAATAAACCTGGAGGAAAATCACACGAGGATAGACATTGAAAAAGCAGATCATTTTAATTACTGTCAATCGAATGGTCTAATCCAAATGCCGCACTCAAAATTTCTTGAAGCATTCGCACAAGTAGATAACCATCGATCATATAGTCCAGGGGTAAGGGATTGAAGTCCAAACCCACAGGCTGGCGATTCGCACTTTTGACGAGTCCAATACTCTTCGTCGGTCATCAGAAAGTCTACAGTATAGGCGGAACTTTTCAGCAGTGAGAAGCCACCTGCATGTTAATCGCAAAGCTATCGGTGTGATGTCTTGTGGAGTTCTGTAATGATTGTAGTAGTAGTAGTAGTGCAGTTACGCACAGAATCCAGGACACGAACTACGCAATAGGAATCACGGAACACGAATTAGAAAACCGATGGCACTGGACCGCAATGGCTCGAACTCTTATAGCCCGCAGGATCGAGACGCGAGGAAAAAGGCCACAAGACAGGCGAATCACAAAGTCGTTTATTGCAGGAAATGATAATAATAATACTGCATCACATCTTGCATCATATTGCTCTTCTCTGCATTGTATCTGATTGGCTGGAACGGTCCACCAATGCCGTGTATCCGGAGGCTGTGCACGTGCTACTGGCATCAGCGCTCAAGGTCGATTGACTACCAATGTCCGGAAACTGTACCGCGCTGCTCCAGGGCAGGCATGATCTCGTAGATCCGAATCACCACAAGTTCTCATGTACAATCCTCAGTTTATTGATTCAACTATAAACTCGGCAGCACTAGACTCAAGTTGGGCTCTTACTGAAACTCATCAGTAGTCCATATCCACCGTCCCGTCCGGGATTTGAACTCCGGACCTGAACAAACATGAATTGACAATTTGGTTCAGCCATGGTCTGAGCTGGTTGGCACAGTGGTAAAGCACACAGCTTCCGTACGATGGGTCCGGAGTTGAAATCTCAGATGGGACGGTAGATATGCGGTACTGATGAGTTCTAATAAGAGTCTAGTACCTCCTCGAGTGTATGGTTGAATCAATGAACTGAGGATTGTGCGCGTGATGGTGAAGTCCAAAGGATAGTCAGTCCAAATCAATCAATGCTTTTCTCTGTTTTAATTGCCGTTGTCTTCTTGTTGGTCAGTCCCAAATGTGAGGCAGACAGCTAACTGAGCAGTTACCTCTTGGAGTATTGGACTGAAATAGGATAAAACTGGAGATATGCTGACTGTTCTGCACTTAGCCGACTGATTATGACACCCGGTCAGAACAACCTGTTTTGCCAATGGACATGTATGTCTCCGAAAAGCGAGCTTGTGAAGCAGTTAAGCCTACCACTGAACTCCGAACTCTTTTCTCTATCCGAATTCGTCTGTGGGGTCCGATCCACATACATCTTTCTGGTTCTCTTCGGAATGTGCTAGACTGTGAACGTTAAATCATCGAAAACAATTGTTAACCTTCTATTAGTTCCTTCACATTTCTCTATCGCCCTCCCAACCATGTACAAGGAAACAATCTGTGCCTGCTTTCTGTCCCTCATGGCTCACCCACCGCCATATCCTCAGTACTTATGGTGATCGAATGAGCCAGATAAAAAATTATGTAATCATTGCGAATCCCATATCCAGTTTCAAGTCGAATTTAACCCAAAATAATCTGCTCGGTGAATTTTCCCGTTCCCTAAACAATTTTGATTGACTGCTGAAGCATATAGTGTGATGTGTTCGTATAACTGCAAATCATTGAAACCGAGCGTGTTCGCGACTGTGTTGTATTTGCAATGTGTTCCTACGGGACTGTGTGCAAAATTTTTCTCCCCTGTAC